GTACGTCGCTAATTCGCCATTGATTCTATCCGTCACTAATATCCATCGCTAATAGCATCGCCCATGTCCTTTTGACCCACAGACTATCAGCGACATATATCAGGATTAGCAAAGGATTAGCGGTGGATTGATTTGTCGTTTATAGTGCCTAATTTTGTAGGACATGAGGGGCAATTTTGTCATTATGCATGTAATGGATGCACCATCTCGTCGATTCATACATTGGAGGACCACTCACAAAATCAATGGAGTTGACTGTTTCTCTTTGCTCTTCAACATTTTCGAGTGTTCTTTACATATTGCATACATTAAGGCCAATATATGAACTAGTATGACGGTGGGGTTTTATGCATAATTGTTGGCATTTTTGGAGTAAATTTTTGAGTTTTATAAAGATGCTTTATATATAATTATATATTATAAATAATAACATTAATTAACATAAAAATCTCAAAACAATATATTTTCATGTATTTAAAAGAGAATAATTTTTCAAAACAGTCCTTGACATTCAATCGAACCATACATTCATTTTCTAACATCCCCAAACTCTTCGCAAAACTTGATACTCAACATATTACCTCCCATCTATTTTATAACTTTTTTTATATCACAATAGAACCACGTTTGTTGCTTTGCACAAACAATGAAGCCTCGTTTGATTACAAGGTAAGGTAATAGCCATAATGCAACAATTTCATGTGAGCTGCTAATGATGCCAATTTGTCACTTTATTTGCAACAAGTCAATAAGCCGTCATAATATTTTATTAGAAAATTGGATATTTCAAACATAAATATAATTTCAAGTTTAACGTTCTCCTATTTAAGCATCACAAAGTAGCAACATATATTAAACATGCAGTTAACCTATTTATATAAAGTTGGCAGACTAGATTCCTCAAACGGAAGATATCATCACAACAACATCATAATGATGCTTGCTTAAAACCTGAAGGTAAAATATTGGTAAGATCTTTACGGACACTAACTAAGCTTACCCGGTAAGTGATTGCTGGGTCACTTTACCTTATTGAATGGACATGACAATGATTGAGAATCTTACCTAGTAAGAGTGATAATAAGGACCGAGAGTCTTACATGATAAGTGAGAGTGACAACTTTTACATGGTAAACTCTTACCGGATAAAAATGTTCCATAAAATTCTTCAAATAAAGTCCATTTGAGGTCTTTGGCATACCTACACAATATGAATTAATTAACATATAACAAGAGAATTTATAAGATAAAATGTATCATGCAAATACAAATCTTAGAGCCGTCTAAACCAGAGTGGATTTGTCAACTGAAGGATCACTACCATCAACAGTTTCCCACGAACTCCACGTGCCATTAAAGCATTCCCATTCTTGAGACAAGCAAACCTAAGCATATTGCAAAAATGGGGAAATGGCTCTATCCTCCTCCAAAGCATTACGGCTAAGCCCACTCATCAATATCACCTAAAATCCACTCAATTGAAGTATTAAGATGTAGACTTGGATACTGCCTTGGGGGGTTAGAGTTGACCCTAAATACAATTTGGTAGATATCAAATATAAGTCTAGACTTGGATCTGATGACCCGTTCGTTCGAGCATCACAGACAGAACAAGTCTACTATACTTCATATCCTTTGATACAAAGGATTTGAAAGATTGGTGGGCGGTTGTCAAGACAAAGGCTCATGGCATATATATATGAAGTGTCTGACATGATTAACGATGTTGAAAAAAATGATCATGTGGATGGAGAACAATTCTTTCAAATCAAAGAAAGGGTGACTCATACAATGTTCGCACTGCGAAACGAGCTCGATGATGTTCGTCTTGCCACATGGGAGGTAAATGTACTCCATAATATTAATGAAGATGAAGGTGGCGATGAATCGGATAATGATAGCAACAATATACCGGGAAACTAAGATAGCGAGGATGAACCAGAATTTGAAGATATTGATGATGATTCAAATGATGAAGATGAACCGATGTTATCTGATCATTCTTCTGATGAGTAACTTGTCTTCTATATGCTTATTTCACAATTGTATATATAACTGCGAGTTGTCATTATCTTTCTTCATGATATCTAATGTTTGTTTTTTCAGGAGATGTCACGCCGAGAGCGCATTAGAGGCCATCATGATAGTTGTACTAGCCCTATGTCTGGTAGGGGCAGCAACTCTACTGTCTGGCGTGGCGAACCGCACGCCGATGATATTGTTGAGTTCTCGGAGACCTCCTAACGGGATTTAGATGAATAAGAGGTGGCCATGGAGGCCCCATCTTCGACAGGTTCAAGGTCGGGGAAAGGCCCCAACAATGAGATACCGACACCCAGTCATCCGAGCCAACGAAAACATCTTTTTTTGTTAGGCAATGGGTAATTAAATGTGGTATAATACTTTTTATTACATAATAAAATGATATGAATGACTTTTGTGTTGTAAATATTTTTTTAATTGTACAGGTTTAAAGATGCCCATGTTATCTGAGAGATGACGGCTATATTCAGGTCTTCTTTTACTGGTTCGTGGCATAGATGGAAAGAAGTCCTTCAAGAAGCTTGCGACTTGATGTTCCAGTGCTTTTGGGTTGGTGTACCATTTTAATGTAATTATACATTTAAGGTTATTGTTTTTACATTTATAAAAATATGTGTATGTAGGCTAAGTTCCAGTAGGAAACAAAGCTGGATGACACGGTTCATAATTTATGAACCAAATCCATGCACAATAGGTACTCAGGTTGGATGAGTTTTGCACGTGACTGGGCCATGGCACAGGTCTATCGCGGTTTTCAACAATGTGAAGGTGAAGACTTATCACGAATTAGAGTACACCGTCCTGTATGGATCCCAAAGATGTTTTGGCTTCAGATGATTGACCATGTATGTATCTCTATTGACTATTATGAGCTTTTTGAACTGCCATCTGTTTTGTATCGTCTTATATATGTGCTCTGTTTTTAACAGGTTTGGGACACCGAGCCTTGGAAAAGGAAATCCATGATCAATATGGCTAATCGGAACCCACAGTTTGAGGGGGTTTCGTCCAGACACACCGGGGGATCGATCAGTACTGCACAGCATCGAGACATGATAATTAGTATATAATCTTTTTTGAATATGTAATTTGTTCTCTATGTTTACTAACAATTTAACCTAATTGTCTAATGTAGGCAAAACTAATGGGTCGTGAGCCGACTGCTACTAAGGTGTTTAAACGCACTTAGTACACGAACCGGAAGTTCGATCAAGGTTCGTCTGACCCGCCTATCGATCCTCCTCAGTTCAGTTACCTCAAAGCTGCTAGGTATCATGTAAGTTTTCTAAAACCATTACTTCGGTTAATAGAAACGTTTGGTAGGTTTAAGGTAATATATTTTAATAAACATAGTGATGTTATTTGTTTGGGCTGCCATTGTTGGACAGACATTAGACTAAGTAGATAGGTTGAGAATATAACTACCATTGGTATTATTAGAATGTTTTAATTGTTAAAAACAGACGTTGGATATGTTTTATTTACAGTCGTTATGCTGCTGAAATTTCTACATACATAGCCTCGCCCGTTTTTGTTTTGGTGAACCATAAGAGCGTTTTCAATTGCTTAGGGTGAGTCACAGTCTAGTACCGACAGCCCTCCCCTGATGAGGCATCTCTTTGGGAGTAGAGTGTTGGAGGACGGAGGAAGGGCCACATCTTTGATTTCGGGACCTCCCAGGATCCCTCTTATATTATGACAGGTAGATGTAGCTGTAGCACCAGGAGATCATACGAGTCAACAGTGGAGGTATGTTGATTATATTGTTATATACTTTCTCATTACTAAAATTGCAAACAAATTACTTATTTTGTCGAATATTGAATATTTACAGGTTACGGAGTTGAGAGAGAAGTTGGCAAGGGTAAAGGAGGAACTGGAGACCGAACGGAACAACATGGCAGATTTGGAAGCCAAACAAACTGTTGCGTTAGCCGAACATGCGGCCTTATCGGAGCATTTTGTTGTATTTATGCTGCAGTCAGGTACGTTTTCCCCCTTTCCCACCTCTCAGTAGTTAGATTGTATTAATTTGAACATTAAAATTGTATAATTGGATATTTTAAATTGTATGAATTGGATATTTTAAATCGTATGAATTGATTAGTTTTAATTTGTTCACAGTTTTGGTTTGTTATATTATGGTCAGGTTTTGTATAAATAAATACAGGAATTATGTAATTATAAAAAAATTATTTTTAGATTAATACAAATTAGCGAGGGAAAATCTGTCGCTGAAAGTCCTTCCCTGTCTGTTGTTAATCCATCGCTGAAAGTTCCCTCGCTGATCCGTTGTTGAAAGTTCCCTCGTTGATCCTTGCTGAATCTTTTCCCTCGTTGATCTGTCCCTGAAAGTAATCGTCGTTGATCTATCGCTGATAACATTACCTACGAGCTTTTGTCCGACGGACTATCAGCGACAGATCAGCGACGAAAGACCTTTTTAGCGATGGATTTGCGGGGGAAAATACTCTTATTTTTGTAGTGAATATCAAATACTTATAAACACAAATATATTATAATATTTGTATCGCTCTTTCATTTTCAACTTCATAAGTCATGTTTTTATTCATTTGAATTTTAACATTAAGTAATATTTGTTTGAAATATATGACGTGAGCTTAAAAGTAACAAATCAAATGAGAGATTTATATAAAATATTTCAAATTGATGAAGATAAATTATAAAACTTTATTGATAAAAAAAACTTTTCGAAAGTATTTTTATGTACCGAAGGAAGTATCTGATGATAGGTTTTCCTAATAAAAATTAGTGGAAAGCTAGTGTAACAAAAATAAAAAAGATTTTGTAAAACTTAGGCATTAGGGATGCTATAATTGCGTAACTTACATCATCAGCTTTGGTGAAGAAATGTTACACCCCAGCTTTCACTAGGGTCGTGACAACCTGTACCTTGTAACTTAATAAATCATACAAATCATTCATCACATTGCATCAAAAGAGTTAAAACATCATAATAACTTAAACATTGTTAATATACCAAATAGATCAAACATAGTAGTTATATTATTCGGTGCAACACAAGATAATGACATATATTCAAGGTCAATGTCACTTCCAACATATGCCCTTACATTATATTTCCCTTAATTGCTCTCGGCTTTGTCTGCTCCTAAAACAAACGTTACTTGTTAGCTTCAAGTTCAATGAGTTCAAAGTTTAGAGAGTTAACATCCATTTATACATAACAATGCAGCAAAAGGGTTTCATAAACTTGACAACATATAACTAAACATCACATACGAGCTTGCTTGTCAAAGTATATGTATCATTAAAAGATGAGTTTCATAATTGTTGATTATGCATACCATAGATAGAACATACATACATGCAACTTGCACATGGTTAATCGAGATATTATATGTGAACTAGCATATAATAAGTAATTAGATTAAAAAATAATTATGAGAAACACAACTACATTTGTTTATTGAACACATATGAGCATATGATATATGTTTTGTTGAACATTTTATATTAGAATTGTTCACACATAAGAAAACCCAAAATATATATTACCACTTATTTCCCATTTGTTAAACCATGTATATTGTTACACTTTTGCTTTCTATTTAATTGTGATGACTTGAGAAAAAGATTTTGTGCTTGTTGTATTATTAGGTCGTTAGACACGAGATATAGGTTATGCCCGCAAATATCACCTCTATTTTATATATGATGTTTTAAATTTAAGGATAATTGTGTGTAAATATATACCGTATCTTTTGGAAACACAAATATGCATTGGGCCATCGATCTGAAGATTGATTGTGGTTTTGTACTTTGGGATTTTGTTTTCATCGCTCAACTTGAACACGAAGCAACCCAACAAGATAGAAGAGAATATCTTCATTTGCCTATATGCGAAATCTCGGCCCAAACATATTCTAGGTCCCGCCTGTGTATAAATAAAACCAATTACTACTATGAATGTGTATCATCAATAAAAAGCTAGAAATGTCGCATATATGGACATGTTGGTTGTTTGCAACAGTGACTTGTACCTTATTCAGTAGAAGTTGCACCTTGTGGATATGAAATTAATGGTATTATACTAACCTGAAAAGCTGTAAACTTGAAGGGGCTCTCTGGGTGGAAGCAACCATCTCGATCAAGCCATCTTTCTGGTCTAAACTCATGTGCATCCTCACCCCATATGGACTTCATCCTTCCCATTGCATATGGCAAGTAAAATACCATATCCCCTTTCTCAACATTACAACCATCTGGTAGAACGTCATCTGAAAAGCATATCTTTACGTCCTACATAATATCATTTCATCTTCATATTCTTACAAATTATCAGGATAAGAGTTGCACACAGATACCGATTGCTAAAGGCTCATCCTTAGAAAGCAAATATAAGAAATTAAACAAGTGTTGGACGATTAAGGTTGCATACCATCGACAAGGCAGGATAGAGTCTGAGGGTTTCCGTTAAATTTGCATGAAGATATTGCATTTTATCAAGAGCTTCCTCACTCACACAGGCTGCAAACTCCGCAACATTTGTGATCTCTAATTCTTTCATGTTAATGTTGGTTGCTTCTTTAATTTCTTTTGCAACTTTATCTTGAATATGAGGATGTTTGCAAAGCATGTAAATGAACCAATACAAAGTAGTTGCTATAGGATCTTTACCAGCAAGTACAAACGCTACTACTATGTCTCGTATGTACTTTGGATCTGTATTCTTGATCTGCAAAAACCTCGACAAAATGTCTTCTTTCTTGAACTGAAAATTCCATATAAAAATTAGTTTAAAACATTTTCTATGCTTGAAATTTTAATGAAAAGTGTCGAACTATACATATGTCAACGGGAAAGTTCAATTAGAAACGCTAAAATTTTGGGAACCAACTATTCATGACAAATATACATGAATATTAATCATTAGTAGTTGATTCTCAGCTGGGTTTTCAAAATATTTAGCATTTCAAATACCTCTTCCTTTACCAATGAATCATCCTTTGTGTTGTGCATTTGCTCAATCTTGGTCTGGATCAACTTATAAACATAGTCATCAATCACTTTGATATTTTTCTGTAACTCTGCTTCTGTTCCAATATTCAAAGCCTTCTTCATCTTCCATGACATGTCAAAAAGTCTTCGAAGAATCAACGCACTTGCATCATCAAAGGCACGACTGAATCTAATACCTTCTTCACTTGAACCACTAATGTTGTCAACATCAATTCCAAAACCAACTTTAAATATTGAATCCGTCGTTGCTTTCATGAACAAGTCCTGGATGTTTGCATATTGGGACGTAATGTTTAGCTCTAACGACAATAATCAATGGAGTAAGTAAATGTTTGTGAGGAAACTATTGAGAAACCTACAGTTATATCGATTTTTTCATTGCTATTTGCTGCTTCTGACAAAATGTTGCCAACTTTTATTGTGTTTTTTCTAAAGACTACACTGCTAAAATCTCTCAACACTTTCGTAGAGAACTCATGGCTTGATACCTTCCTCTGTTCTCGCCATTCGTTACCATCGACTGTCAATATTCCATCACCAAGTAGATCCTTTAGGATGTTGTTGATATGCGCTCCCTACAATATTTTTTCACAATAGTAATTTGTAAAAAGAATTCCATAAGAGGGACTGGTATAGCAATATCTCAATACAGGGACCCTTAATCGAAAATTTTGATGGAGCAAAAAAGTGAAGGATATATATTCCGACTGTTGGTTAAAAATGGATTCCATTGAGGTTAGTTAGACCTAGAAGAAAAAGGATAAATGAAAAATTGAAATTATGACATCCAATTAGGACACGCACACACCTTGCCATAATTTTTGAAATTTGTCTTGAGGATATACTCCACAATTGAAGGATCAGATGTATAAATCTCACCGCGAAAAGGGTTAAACACTCTATAAGTTTTGTATATTGTGGCAAGATTAGTATTGTAATCATGCAACGTGCGATAGTTGATGAGTTGATTAAACTTAGTTCCGCCAAATGGGTGGTACGTCTTCGTTTTCTTCCCATATTTTTGTGATTGATGGTAGATATAGACTAAAAGAAGAAGAAATAAAGGTATGAAGATTGAATTTGAGAGAAAATCCATGGAAGTTGCCATCTTGTGAGAAATGAGAGGGAATGTGTTCCTTTAATCAATGTTAGGGATGAGTACTAATATATATAGGATCCCCTTTATTACCTTGATAATTTGATTAATGTTACACTTTTTTGAACTAATTACAATTTTGACGACTGTATTTATCACTTTTGGTCCTTTTCACAAACTTCTTTTTTAAAAGTAAACTAAAAACTTGGTCCTTAAGGTTTATTGAAAACAACACTTTTCATTCTTGTATTTTTTGAAATTAGAAGATATTCATCATGGTTTGCAAAAATATTTTGATTTGTCCTCTTTCGTAATGGTTGTTAATTGAAGGGTTTCGTCAAATGAGGTGCATTTTAATGTAGATAATACACACACATATATATATATGTATGTATGTATAACCACACACAATATTTTTCTATGTATATATAAACTTATTTTGAAATTTATCTATTTTTGTTGACAACTATATCCATTATGACACACAAATTTTGTTTTGTTTCGTTTTATTTTATTAAATAGTAGTTTTTTAAATAAATTGAATTACAATGAAAGTAGTTTTGTTCGGTTTTTGGTCGAGTTTGATTTAAGTATAGGTGAACGTAGTTGAAAACGCATTAAATTTTCAAACAACTTTTTCCACAAATATAATATTACGCTTTTTTTTTTCATTTGAGATGTTACGGGTATAGATGAAAAGAGAGATTTGAAGACATAAAAATTGGAAACTCCCAAACGAAACCAACCACAGGACATTTGTTTTTTTACCCTAATATATAGCATAAATAAGATTAAAAAATTTAATAGAAAATGAGTAAAAAAAGATATGAAGATCAAATAAATTGTTTAGTCTAAACGTTATTTTCGACAAACCACATATAAATTATTTTAAATAATATTTTGATTTTTTTACTTTTCTTTAAACATATTTAATAAAGGAATATATTAAAATATCATAAAAAGGATAAACGAAAAAGAAAAAAATAGAGAAGGTTACTTTGTGGTTTTTCAACGTGTAAAAGATAAAAGAATTGGTAAAAGGATGAAAATGAATCTTATTTAATTAAAAAATTTAATGATCGTTAGAGGAAAAATCAAATTAAGACGTTTTTGCAAACCATGATAATCATCTTGTAATTTCGAAACTGTAGAGATAAAAAGTATTATTTTCCAAAAATCACAAGAACCCAATTTGTGTATACTCCTTTTTTTAACAAAAGTTAGTTGGATCAAAAGGACTAGAAGTGAAACAGATTGGCAGCCACAGTGACCACGAGACTAGAGTTGTCGGTAAGTGACAATCACAAATACCAAAACTAATTTACTTTTACTGTTATTATTAATTACATTTTCTTGTCTATTATTGTAGGACTCTCCTTCCGGCTACATCTTGATGTATGCCTAAATACTTAAATTGATCCTTTTATGGCATCTCCCCTCTCCTCCCCCAACTTTTGACTTATGTCCATCAACAATGTGTTACCCCTGCCGAACTTATTAAACGACATGAATGCTCTCTTAGAACGACTAATTACGCAAGCCATGCATTTTTGAAAACGACATGAATGCTCTCTTAGAACGACTAATACGCAAGCCATGTATTTCCGAAAACGCCCTTCAATGCTCCGATCTTTTGTTGACATCAACTTTCGACTCTAGAGTGTCATTTGCGGAATAACATGTAGCATAGGGTACTCCTTTTGATCCTTGGGAATAAATAATTTTTTAATCTTTTTATAACTATAAATTATATTTGTTATTATTAATTTTAAATTTTTGTTTGTCATTAATATTAGAAGAAATTACAAATTTCTTGTCATTTGGTTTCGGGAGATTATGGATTGGCTCTCTAACTTAACAATAATATGGATAGGGTTCTTATGCAGGGAAGGAGACGGATGGTGATCGTGCTGGTAACGCATCCCCGTCCTCGATGACGACTACTGTTTGACCCCCGTCCCGATTAATCCTCGACGGGTTCAGGAATTTGTTGGGTATCCATTTAGTAAAGAAACAATCTAATTTATAATGAATCATCACTACATTAATTACCATATTGAAAATCGAAATATATTTATCATTTAATAATAAATGTATATATACAATAGACTTAGGATTATGCGAAACTAAACTGTTTTCTCGAGACCACTTTTTAACACTTGAGACTTCACAGCAAAACACTTCGCTACGAAGGTTAGAATTTTTTTAACTTCACAATGTTTTGATATGAAGTTTCAAGTGTAAAAATATGTTCTCACATATCTCACGAAAACAGGTTGGTCTCACGTGAACCCAACCTTATAGGGGCCTAATCAAATAATAACTAAATAATTTGTGGTAACCATGAGATCCAATATGAACCAATCATTTTAAATAATTAATGTTATTACTAATATATATATATATATATATATATATATATAAACCAGAAAATGAAAACCAAAAAACAAATTAATGTTTAGAAGTTGTCATCTCATCTCATGCTACTTGATTGTCTATAATTTAAAGATAATAATGATATTAATGTGTAGATATAGATGTGTTGATTTAGATATATAGATATAGATGTGTAGATGTAGATATATAGATATAAATCTTTGAGTTAAGCCAAAAAAAATTTAATAATATATAAACTTTTACTAAGGAAAAGAGGGAAAAAAAAAGGTATATTTAGTCAACCGACACTAAACATCTTTTATTTATTACTTTAATATATATGATAACTTTCAATTTGTGAGAGTTATTTGCTATGCAATACTCCTATTTTTATGTGTATTATGTACCCATTTTGTTCATATCCTGTATTTTTTGTTCAAAATATTTTAAGAGGTGATGAAAGGTCAGGAATTTGATTATTTTCTGAAAAACCGTTGTTGTTGGTAAAATGCCCATTTTCTGCTCACAATCTGCCTACTTCATATTTTCCTCAAAACGGATTTGGACAAGATTTAAATATTGGCTCTCCTGGGTATTTAAGTGAATTAATTCTGAAGTCAGATCCGAAAGTCTTGAATTATTTGGAAGAATGGGCTTGGTTGAATTAAAAAATGTTTTAAAGTAACCCTACCATTATTTTAATGAAAATATCTTCTTTACCTTTTCCTTATTTTAAGGATTAGGTAACTTTACCTTTTTCATCTTTTAAAAAAAAGGTGACAAGGACAGAAAAGTAGACAAAAAGTGATGAGAGGTTATTATCCTCTAGTCAATAAGACTTTCTTCCTTTGGGCGAAAATAATGTCTGGTTCTCACTTTTTCCCTATATATTGAAGCATTCTCTCACTTGGAAGACATCAACTTTGGAGCATTTATTCTCAACTAAAGTTCTGGAGCAGTAGAGCAAGTTTAGTTTCTGCATTTAATTTTATTTTCGTATTTAGCTTTAATTCTTGCTACTGTGTCTTGTATGCCCCCTGTGGGCAACAGTTTAAGTGGAATTTTCATTCAAGTACTTCTTATGCATTTTCTTCTTCTTCCTTTATGTTTTATAATTTTATTATGAGATAATCACCCCTTTTGGTGTGGGTGTGAGTCAAACTTAAGAATTTGAAGTTACACTTGGGTGTTGCCATTTTTATTAATTCTTAAGTTTGGTCATTTAAGTCGGGGCTTAAACTCAACGCAGATAAGTTGATCATTTTGAAGTGTTAATATTAGATCATTGATCCAGAGATGGGCGGATTTGAAATACGGCTTAAATGATGCACAAAGATTTGAGAGAGTCTTTGATAATCACGTAGTGATACAGATTTTGCATGTTTTTAGCTAATGTTTGGATATTAGTCGAGTTTATACTACAAAGAGATTTGAGTATCAATCTTCAGGCTAGTGGAACCAGATATATTTTTATCTATTAGCTAATTCGGCAAGTTTAAAACTGATAAAACTGGACGCTTTGTGGGCACTATGTGGGCACAATATATAAGAATTCACTTTCGAGATATTGAAGTTTTTATAGAAGTCTCATGAGTTTCTGACCATACTGTTCCTGCAATCTTCTTAAGCGAAACTTACACCCATACCCATCTTTTAATTTTGAAGGTTTATTACGTATTTTAAAGCTTTGCACCAACAAAACTCAACTTTTATTCTCAAACAGAAACATACTCAAGAAGTTCATGAAACTCTCTGATTCTCAGTAAGTCCAGTCCCTGTGGAAACGATATTGGTACTATACCACTTTATTACTTGAAGCGATTATGGTGTCGGCGTGCACTTGCACCGCCAATGTGGGGACTTTGTGCCCACTGTGTGAACACTTACGATTCCAACACATCAAGTTTTTGGCACCGCTGCCGGGGATCTGGCGCGATTTTTATCTTGAGATATTGATTTTCATTTGAGCCTTGGCCATTTGTTTCAATCGCTGTTCCTGTGTTGTATGTCATGGCTACAACACGGTGAGATTTTACCTCTTGATCTTGAGTTAGAAAGAACCATTAGGAGACGTAAAAGAGGTAGAAACAATCGGCGAAATCCCACTTTAAACCGTACCATGGGGGATAATCCACCTCCTCGGGAAGCGACGGTTAAAATTGTCGATGACAAAAATAGAGGCATACGGGACTACGCAACTCCCGAATTTGGTCAATTGGCCTCAGGAATAGGTAGGCCCGAAATAACTAAATAGTTTGTGGTAACTATGAGATCCAATATGAACCAATCATTTTTAATAATTAATGTTATTACTAATATATATATATATATATGATGTAAACCAAAAAATGGAAACCAAAAAAAAATTAATGCTTAGAAGTTTTCATCTCATACTACTTGATTGTCTATAATTTAAGGATAATAATGATATTAATGTGTTGATTTAGATATATAGATATAGATGTGTAGATATAGATGTGTTGATTTAGATATATAGATATAGATGTGTAGATGTAGATATATAGATATGGATCTTTGTGTTAAGCCAATTTTTTTTAATAATATATAAACTTTTACTAAGGAAAAGAGGGGGAAAAGGTATATTTAGTCAACCGACACTAAACATCTTCTTTTAT